CGTGATTTTGCCAGCATCTTCTCGCACATATCTTCTCGGTCTTGGAGGCTCTCGGGACGTCCAAGTTCTTCTAGTTTCGACGCGACAAACAGTTTCATATCATGCAAGGTGTCACTGTCCGAAAGGGTGTAGATGCTTGCTTTCTTCACCTCCCTCCCCACCCCCAAGCCGCTCAAGCCTCGTTCAATTTCTTCTAGACCTCGACTAGTGGCGAATAGGCGCAAACCGTCAGGCATAGCTGCTAGAAAGCGTTTTGTGAAGAGCGCGCTGTATCCGGCGCACTCGTCAACACCGTCCAGGACCCAAAAGTGGCGAGCGACAGATGGCAGTTTGAAGATACAACCAACGAAGAGGCGACGCCAGACGCTAGAGTCGTCATTCTTATCCCAGCTAAGTTCATCGTTCGCGAGCTGGACAAGTGCATCGCGTACCATGTCGTCTTGAACAGCCATCTGAAAAGCTAGGGAGCGAAAGCATTCACTGATGGTGGAGTCTCCGGTCTTGGAATGCTTGCAAATAAAGTAGCTACAGAACGAATCAAGAGGCGTGAGTTGCTCGATGACGTGGCAGCATATGACCGATTTTCCGGTTGCCGGCCGCCCCATGAGCCACAGGATGCCTGCACCTTTACCAGATTTCCAGTCCTGGAACTCGGGCCGGTTCGTGAACCATTCGCAGGATCCTGGCTGCTTGAGAATCTGCAGAGTAAATAGATCCCCTTCCAGCAGATCTCGTGACCCTAGAAATGCCCGCAGTAGAGTAAGAGCCTCAGCAGGTGACAGTTTTGGCCTTGGGTCAGAAAAGCCGCCCCTATCATGAGGTTGTCCCTCCATGGTATGAACCGTGCCCAACACTAAACTTGACCTGATAGTATCGATGGCGGTCAGGAGAGCGTTACGTAACATGTTATAGTTCGGATCCGAACGGGTCTCGAATTTGCAAACTTGTCGGTGGTCAGCGTGCATAGGGGCGATTTCTTCATTATGATAGCCCAGCGTGGCCGAGTGCTGATCAACCACAATGCGGTTCATCATGCCGCCACGTACTGGCAGTGTCTCGTAGAATGACCACAAACGGAGGTCTGGGGCGTAGTGACGAAAGCTATCATTGATAGCTGCCAGGACGGACGAGTTAGGTGTCAGATCTCCGACGAAAGGTTTTTTGCCCCAAGTGAGAGCCAGCATGTTTTCCAACAAGGCGGCGAGGTCTGAGCCACGGTGAGGAGTACCAAGGAAGAACATGGAATGTATGCGCGAGGCAATGTCCGAGGCTGTGGGATCTTGTCGCGCAAGAATGTAAGTCTTTTTTGCGATGCAACCTCCCATGCTATGGCCGACAAATATGACGCGCGTCCGACTTTGCCGGATGGCTGGGTGGTTGCGCAACGCGCCGAGGAGGATTTGGGAGAAGCCATGAATATCTAGGACGCTTTGTTTGCGCTCTGCCCAATCCGCCTTATAGCCAAACGTGTGTATCCGGACATCAGAAAAGTCCCCATCATCTGGCAACCAAGCTTGAGGCCAGTAATGTTGGGGGTCGGACGAGAAGGACCATGTTTTGCGACTTCCACCGCCAAGTCCGTGAATGAAGACGATATCGGCGACCGGCTCTGAGGGTGGCGTCGGTTCGTGCAGAGTAGTCAGGCCGAGGGCGCCTTTCTCGTCGCTGCTGGATTCGGCAGTGGTGGTTGAAGTCGACCAAAGGGCGAGTGGAGAAGAGGTATTGGTACGAGCGACAAACCTCCGCTGTCCCTGTGCCGGCCTGGTCAAGAACCCGAAGGACGTTGTACGTGGCTATCCGTATATCACTCTTATTGTCAGTGGTCGGTCTTGTAACTCTCTACTTTACCCATCGGAGGGGATGGAAGAGCGGTTGAAGAAAGGACGGGCGAAGTTCCATGCGGCTCGGCCCGCTGTTGGAATGAGGTTGGAAGATGGAAATGATGACTAACCGGATCCATAAGCCGAGCGTGGAGCCGATGTCATCCATAGATGCCCGTCTACGGGTTATATCTGGACGAGAACCAAGAGAGAAGGCGATAATAATGGCATAAAACCGTTCAAGCACGGTTGCAAATCATTTCAGATGTCCGAGGAAGCATTGAAGAGGGAAGCGACAATCCAAAAATCGCCGACGTGGTGGCAGCTGCAGCCGTCTTTCCGACCTCAACTCTCAGGAGGCCTTGTCAGGGAGCTACCGGGCTTTTACAATACTTAGCCGCTTGGGAGCGGGTCGCGGTCCTGGCCCCAGGCCTGGCACCTGGGTGCCTTTTCTCAAGTCTGGACCGAGTACTGCAACCTGGTTGGGCATTGCTCTTGAAACAATTGGTCCAAGATATGCACGCCTCACAGTCGTGTGGTGGTTAAAAGCGTACGGCTGATAATAAATGGAGTATTCCCGAGTATGGGGCTGGCTTGGCTGGGTGACATGTTGAACAAGGAGAGGGCAAAATAGTAGTATTTTGAGGATGACTATCCGTAGAAAACGCCCATAAATAGTGTATTCCTTATGGTACCATACGCTCCACTTTACAGTAATCCTCTCCTTCTCTCACTGCGATTGGAACAGTGCTTAATGATCACATTGAGTTGGTCTTGATTTCGAGTGCATTCTTTTATCATTCTTCTCGTTCAGAGTTCCAAGTCTTGTACGAGTCTGTGACAATGGGTCTGAATATGATGGTGACGACTTTGGTTTGACGTTACCAATACTGATGGATATGAGGAAAGCCATGAAGGTCAGTAACGGACACGGTCTACTTATCCGGAGAATGCCCCGTGAACTCACAATTCAAACAGGTCTCACGAGGCGAAAATGGACAGAAGGCTTTGATGGGGGAATACGAAGCAACTTGGGCAATCTATGCCATCACTCCCGCTTTCTGCCCCAGGCCTCTTGCCTGGGGAACCTTGCAAGGTAATCCCACGGCTGCTCCGACCTCTAGAGACAAAAGTTCACGGCGATCTGTGGTGTGGAAATGCTGGAACCGTCGATGAGGACACTGAAGAGGGCATCGTCTACGACCTGTCCAGCTTTAGAGGGCACAACGAGTATGAATTTGGTAACTGGCACTCGACAGTACTTTGAGGCCTACCAGGCCCATCTCCCCAAGGCTGAGCCCGTCGATGACTTTGACGACCAAGCAAATTCACGATGCTGGGTCCCACTAACATGTCATCCCTTGCTTGGGAGATTAATCTTACCGCACTGTTCCCAAAGCATGGTGAGTCATCGTACTTTAATCCCATATGACTGGCAGCAAAATCCCCCCCTGGAACCCTCTACACCAAAGATTGCAGCATTCAAGATTGTCGCCTCACCTCCTCTGAGTGCCTGAAACAATGCCTGATGACAAGATGACAGGACTACCTACTGAATTTACCCTCAATACCGGTGCGAAGGTTCCGGCGCTAGGGTTCGGTACATTCCAGAGCACCGATGGGAACGCCAAGGTGAAGGAGGCCGTAAAATTGGCCCTGGAGCTTGGATACCGACACATTGACGGTGCCAATGCCTACGGCAACGAGAGGGAGATTGGTCAAGCAATCAAGGAGAGTGGTGTTCCGCGGGAAGAGATATTTGTCACGCCCAAACTGTGAGTATATCTACTTCCCCCAAGGGGCGTTGTTTCGAATGAACTAACCATGAACTTGTAAACGTTTTGCAGCGCCCAGACCTGGCACGACCCAGAGGATGTGGAACGAGCTCTTGAGGTCTCGTTGAAAGATCTCCAACTGGACTATGGTATGTGCCAGGAAATGCATACCGCAAGATGAAGACTTCTAACTCGTCTTGATAGTTGACCTATATCTTATGCATTGTGCGTAGAATCCACACGAGCAAAACACGGAAAAGTCGCTCGATGCTAACCTGTCGCCCTTTGAAGTCCCTCATGCTTATAAGCCTGGGCCAAACAACGAGACTATCCGTCATCCCAGCGGTAATGGAAAGGTAGCCCATTCCACCTCCTCGACGCACGTTGTGGTCGTATCATTCATGGCTAAGACTCATATCTACCTACTTAGCCTATCATTGACTATGGCATGTCAAGAAGATACCCAGAGACATGTGAGTGTCCGCCCTCGTCCGTGTGACAAACCCGCTACGTAGTTACTAACTCTCACGTAGGGCAGGCCATGGAAAAGCTGGTTGAGTCCGGCAAGGCTCGAGCAATAGGCCGGTACCCGACAACCCAATCTCCTCGAGGTAAAGAATCCGGGATGATGCCGAAACTAACTACAACTTAGGCCTATCCAACTTTTCTATCCTCAAAACCAAACGAGTCCTTGAGGTAGCCAAGATCATCCCCGCTGTCAGCCAGGTCGAGATTCACCCTTACTTCCCCCAGCATGAGCTCGTCAACTTTTCAGCCTCGCACGGCATCTTGGTCATGGCCCATCAACCTCTTGGAGGGAGACCGGTCCCGGCGGTGCGGGCGCACCCTGATATTCCTCCGCCTACTGAACATGCCCGGGTACGTGACATGGACTCGATACCTTCCAATCTTCCTAACTCTAAACTGTACAACTCGGAACAGATCATCGATATCGCCAACAAAGCAGGAATGTCACCAGCGCAGGTAAGCTACCCACTTCACTTCACACACTTCTCCCTAAATACTGGTAATCACATCCCCCTTTTACTAATTTGCCCAACAGGTCTGCCTCTCATGGGCCCTCCGGCGCGGGATACCCGTTGTCCCCAAGTCGGTCCAGCCGACGCACATGGCGGACAATCTAAAGGTCAAGCGCTTGCCGGATGACCTGTTCGAGGCGGTGGATACGCTCTCCAAGGAGACAGGTGCGCTGCGGTTCCTGGAGCCGAGTCGGCACATCCAGTTTGATATATTTGATGAGGAGAGGGACGAGCCTGTGGGGAATAGCGCGCCTTGTGATTAGACATATTGCCTTACTTGGGGTAACAGAGAGAGGATACTCCAACCCAAAAAAAAGAAGAAAAAAAAAGGAGAAGTTTGTATAATAGCCAAAAAAGGAGAATAATGTCCCCGAGCGGATTCGGACCGCTGACCTCGGATGCGCTGTTATTTCGCTGAATAGACTTCGCGAGAAAACTCCCTAATCTCAGACGCTATCGAAATAGTCAACGCTGTCTGCGCTCTGACCCCTGAGCTACGGGGACTTGTGGCTTGTTTGATAATGGTGTAATGCGAAAGTACAATATATACCTCTCTCGATTGGGTCCTGGATGAGTCAACAGAGAGGAGGGTGGAGACATCAGTTAATAAAGACGCCGTTCATCATGATACGTGGGAATAAAACGGCACCTGAAAGGAATGTATCGTGCATTATTTGCTCAATGGCAGCTAGCTAGCTATAAAGCTACAAAATCTACCCATTAATGAATGATTCAAGCCGGCTGGGTTCCCCCAAGAGAACAAGGAGGAAGAATGGAACCAAATCCCTTCCCCTTTTCGCTGTTGTGGAAACAAAACGCACTCGATGGACCCAGACCGGGACCGAAATCCCACTGGCCACACAGGACATACCAGAAAGCAAAACAAAGATGAAAAGAAGATATGAAAACTGCACAGGGACTCTGCCCTCTCGTCCTGGAACCGTCAAATGCCAAGCCCAAACAAAGGCGTGGACCGTGGGAGATGGACATCCTATTGCCGTGGGGACTTCTTGACCATTTATCAGTCGTCCGTCCCAACCAGCATCGGCCGAGTGTATGCTGCGGAGCACGTCGTTCAATCTGTAGCGACGGTCACTCTCTTGACGAGATAATCATCCGTCATTCTGGAAACGCTGCGGTTCCTTTCAGACCCACGTGATATAATAACCAGCCGGTCACCATCAATTGCAAGTTGTTGCCCATGTACCCCCTGGAGCTGTAGACTATCAAGAGCGACAGATCTCGTCTTCCGCCTCCAAACTGGGCAGAAAGGTAAACGACTGTCACCCTCCGACGAGTTCGAGGAACGCGCCCGCCGATGAGCATGACTGGCAGCAGCAGATATGCCTGGTCGGCAGACATGGAATCTGACCGCTATGATCTTCCAGGCGCGGCGAGGTCATGCTGGGTAAAGAGGAATTGATACCAACTTCCCGTCAACAAACCTCAGCGCTTGGGAACGTTGAAACCGGTTCTACCATTAGCTCCCGGTCCAAATGGCTCCCGGATGGCCATGATGCCCTGCTGTTGCTTTGTCTTCAGCCCAGCAGCCGCCTTTGAGAGATCAGTGCTCCCGCCACGCCGGCCGGTGGACGGTGCAAACCCTGGTGGTGGCATGACCTTTGGCTGATGACCGTTGAGCCGAGCATTCAAGCCAACCTGCACGCCCTCGTGTGTCTCCGACTGGGGTGTTCCCCACCCCCCTCCCCCTCCCCCGGGCTGACGAGCAGCGTAGTTGCTCCCGTATACATTCGATGCCACACCATTGCCAACCCCAAAGCCAGGCGGAGGACCTTGAGTAATGCCAGTGTTGGGTTGTGCGATGGGCGTGTATGGAGAACTGTTCCCGAAGTTGGACGGAGACTGAGCAGAATCCGCCCGCAGAGGTGTGTGGCCTGTTCCCTGGGCGAATGCGGTCTCTGAAGCCCGCATGGGCACTCCCCAAGGGCTGTTTACGGGTGGCAAGCTCGAGTTAATACCGGAAAATGCAAGGGATGAGAATGGGGATTGGGGGACGGCCTGGTGGGCGGATGAGTGCTGTCCGAGATCCCAGCGCCCGGCCGGTGAGCTCCAAGGATCGGCAGGGGAGACGTTTGATCCAGCGCTGTTAGGCCAGACGTTGCGAACGCCAGAACCGTTCATTGTCTGGCCTGTATGTTCGTTGGGATTGACTGCAGGCATGACAACCGACCGGGTCTGCTGGGAGGGCGATGCCCGAAAGCCCGAAAGCATGGGTGATAAATGAACGCTATTGCGGTTCTGTGACTGACTGCTCGTGCGGTATGCCAGTGCCTTGCTTTCGCCCTCTGGGTTCAAACTTGGCATAGCATTGCTGGAGGTGCCAGGTCGCGAGCGGGGTTGGCCGTATGTCTGCGCCCAAACCGAACTTGAACCAGATGCCGAACGGACACCGCCTTCGACCGGCGCAGGGATATTGAAGTAATTCCAGGGCAGGGTTGGGAACGCCTTGGCGGTTGCAGAGCCAGGATTTGGGCTAGCTGGAGCTAAAGAACCAAAAACTTCATTAGCAGTAGTCGAACCCATACCATATGAACTCTCAGTCTCGATCGAGACGTTGGCTGGAGGTTCCTGGGATTTGACCACCGGCTCCGTCTCTGGAGGGACGAGGAAGTCGTTCAGGATCTTGAAAAGTTCATGGTCAAGGGAAAAGTCTGAAGAGTTGGTCGCCTGTGGTTTAGAAGCCGGGTCCTTGGAGGGAATCAGGGCGGCGAGGGAGCGATGCTTCTTCGCAGAGCCATTATAAAACTCTTGGTCCTCAGAAAAGTCTTCCGAGTCGTTCGCTGCAGTCTCGATGGCCGGTGCGACTTTCAAGGGCTCCTGGACGGCAGAAGCGGTGGTTGTGGAAACGCTGCGAGTTGAAACAGGGGCGGCTGGTGGTTCTGGTTTGCCGGTTAGCTTATGGGGGATGGCACGGGACTTCGCGTTCTCGGTGTAGATAAATTTCTGCTCTTGTGATCCATCAAGAGTCTTGGAATGCTCAATGGGGAACGGCGAGTGGTTGGCCAGCTCAAGGGCGCACAATATCACATCCAGGGCTCGTGTCAAGGTGATGGCATCGGCTGTCGGCTTGGCATCCTTGACCTCCTCAAGCCGTGGCTTAGGGGTGCGATCAATGGGATCGTAGCACAGCTGGGAGCCTTCTGGGAGCCCTGGACCGTTCAAGCACTTCATGCCAAGGGTTTCCTCATCCTCCGGGAGACGCCAAGTGGCTCTCTTCTGGACGTTCGCAATGTCGCTGTCGGTAGACACCAACTCGAAGAGCAGGTTTAGCGCATTAGCAAGCATCTTGCACATCTGTCCAAAGTGCGGTTCGAGATGATCCTTGTATCCCACGAGGTCCGTGCTGGAGAAGCAAAGCCACGTCATGTACACGCGAAGTAGCGGCAACACGCGGTGGAAAGTCGGCGAATATTTTCCCGAGTCGTCGTTCTGGCCAGTCGAGCCAGTGCTGAGTTTAACAGGCTCGCGCTGAACGAACTCGATGAGTTCTTCTCGAAGAAGACGTGTAATCGTCTGTATCGTTCGGACGTTCTGCAAGAGGATAAACTGGCATGAGAGCGATCCAGAATCGGTCCATTGCGCTGGAGAGAGGTCAGAGACAATGAGCAGCAGCACACCAGTTGACATCACGCAAGACTTACTGCGAATTTTGTCCAAACCGACCTGATAAGCCAGAATGTTGATAAGTACCATCTTCAGCAAGTCCGTGTCCACCTCGGCCTGGGTGCCCTTCTTGAGAGCCATAGCTAAACGAGCGTCCACTTCGTCTTCGAGCTCCTTGCGGCTGGTGAATTTCTCGCCCTTGAAGTAGTGAGCGTGGAGCTTGACAAACCATGCTACCATGGCATCGTTGCTGCCGCCCCTTCCGCCCCTGGCCTTTCCGTCCCGAAGCTTGTGAAACTCTCGTTCGAGGTTTTTGAGAGCCATTGGATGAGGCTCTTCGGAAGCAAAGGCTCGATAAAAATGGTAGACGACCTGCAGGTGATCTTCTGTCTCGGTATAGATCACCCCAGCCTGGTGATAGCCGAAGCCAGACTCGGGGATCAACTCGTTCGCAAGCGCGTAATAAGTCAAAGCAGCATCCCAACGCCGGTCCTTGGCCCGCGCAAGAGTGCGATATCTGGCAAAGTCGCCGATGTGCACGAGTATCTTATGGCACATGCCAATGGCGATTTTCTGAAGCTTTCCATCTCTCATGTCGGCCTTACCACCCTCCAGCGTCTTCATATCCTCCAGTTCGGTGAGGCGAGCGATGCGCTTCAGCTCCTTGATATCGTAGAGGGAGCATAAACGCTGTAGGAATCCCCGGTAAAATCCGTTGGCGGTTTTGAGGTAGCTGAAGTACAGCTTTTCGACCTTGCGCTTCAGAACGGCTCTATCCGACGTCTGCAGTTGGCCGATCACCTTTCTGTAGGCTGAAGTGACGATGGTATGGGCGAACCAAAGAAGGTCCTCCACGCCCATCTCGTCTGCAGCGCGAGTCTCTAGGAAGATCATTCCTACACAGTTAAGGCGAAGGCTGACGTCAATGGTTAGCTCTCAGACGGCCAAACAAGTCTATCTGGGGGGCCCCTACTTCTGCATGAGCTTCTCGACCTTTTCGAATCGAGCAGTCTCGTTTGCACCCTGGCCGCCATCTTGGATCTTTTGGAGCTCCTTGGCAATGGCCTCACGCTGGATATTCGCAAGCCTATTTGGTTCGAGAGTTAGTTGTCGGGACATGATTACCGCAGAATGGGAAAAATCATAGACAGCTCACTCACTTCCATGTATCCTCGAGCGAGGGGACTTGCGCGGCGGGGGTCGCCATTTTTGTGGCGGATGGGTCTCGATCTGAGTTCGCACACAGAGGTAGGCTCGAGGTTGTCGAGGCGCAATTTGATATTTATCCGAGAAACTCGGAAGTTAAGTTTGGTGAGAGAAAGCTGGGGCGATCACCAGCGATGCTGTTCACACACGCTCGTCGAAAATCTGTGATGCTGCAAGTGCTCCATCACTTGTCTGGCTCTCGTGGGCGCGGGCGGCGAAAAGATATGGAGTCGGAGGAGGGGCGCGAAGTCTTGCGGCTCGAGATTCGATGGCTGCTGGTAGTGGGCACATTGGAAGACCCAAGCTTCAAGAGATGAAAAAGTATCCCTGAAAGGAAAGGCAAATCTTTTATCTAGCAATAATGTGAGCGCCGCTCCCGTGATAAGGAAACGCGACCGAATGTGCGCGGCGAAACACAAAAAATAGGTTTAGAGTATTCGAGGGTAAAAAAAGTTGGTGGGTGATCCTTGGGGTGGACAAGACTCACAGGCCGTCCCAGAGTCTTTTGAAGTTGGACGATGGCCCCTCTTGACGCAGCACTTTTTTGCAGCCCAATCAACGTGAGGCCCGCCAGGATGAAATGGAGTGGCAGCTGCTCACAGCGGTTCCAATCCAGAACAAGACCCTGGCCCGTGTAGGCTTAAGCTTCGGCTAGTGGAGTTGTGAGTGGGTTA